TGTTAGCCTAGCTGTTAGCCTAGCCTGCTAAGTTAGGGGTTAGCACCTTTTTCCCCCCTTTTGAGCCCGCTGGCAGCAAAACACGCAGATATATTTCCACCTGTCGGGAGTTGAGAGTCTCTGCTGCTGTTTTGAACTCATAGTTCCCGCAGGGCGTTGCTTCCTGTCTGTGTTGTTGTGGTTACTTGTTGTTGTTGTTGTTGTTGTTGTTGTTGTTGTCATCGCTGCACGGTGGCTGTGCTCGTCCACCTGCAGAGTTTCAGCGAGGAAATACAAAGTGTCCCCCTGTTTCCCTCTGATATCCGCCTCTTTATGCCCCAGAACTGATGTTATTACAGTAGAGGAGATGGATGCTGAGACACATGAGCCATCTCTAGCTTTGTTATTGAATTGAGAAGCTGCTGCTGCAGCGATAGTGTCCTCATTATTTGGGTAGAAACTTAAATCAGTACCTTAACTGTTAGCAGTGTGAGTGCACTATTTAGTGGACTTTAAACATGTGCTTTTATTTAACACACTTTATGATTAATAGTGTCATTTTGCTCATCTTCTAAAGTTGGTGTGTTGACTCACTCATAAACTATGCTCAACTTTCACTCTTAATATTGTGCCACAACACAGATAGATGTCTGTGTCTGTGTTTATATGTGAGTCAGGCTTTCTTATCGTATTCCCAAATGTTAACAGCTTTTCCCGTGTATCTCGTCATCAGTCCCGCTCTGTAACTTAACCTCCTGTCTGGTTTGTGAAGCGTCCGTACGCCGGAGCTCCGCAGACAGACGACGATGAAGAGAAGCAGGCACCCCAGCAGCAGTGATGACTCCGACAATGGAAGTAAGTGAACTGTCGTCTCTCCTCGTTCATTCATACCAAACATAGACTTGAATGAAGTCAGTAAACACCCCTGCCACCTTCCTCAGTTTAACAAGTGAAAGTGCAAAGCAGGCACTGTAAAGTCAGGAACTTAAATACCACAAAATATAAATTTATCAGTCAATAGTTTCCTTTGTCAGAGCAGTTGTCTTCTCCTGAAAATGTGTCTTTCATCTTGTTTCTGTCAATGTATACTTCACGTACAGGGAGGAAACCAAGGGAAAGAAAGAGAAAGAAGGGCAGCAGATGGACAAAGATTAAGGAAAACAAAGCCAGAGCCTACAGTCTGAGAAACAGGAGACAGAGTAGGGACAGGAGGCGCATTTGGACGTTTAAAGACGTCCCGGCAGGTCAGGCAGAGACAGGCTCAAAGTCTGACCTCAGTCAGCAATTTCAGAAACACTTTGTAGCGTTTGTTTCATCCGCTGCGAAATCTCAGATGGGTGGGGTTTTACTGCATCGTATAAAATGTTGGGTTAAGTTAAAGTTTACAGAAAGCCAGATTAATGTGTGGATGCTTCCCTGTTCCTGTTTGGATTTGCGTAACATTCAGTGTATCTGATGTGCAATCTGCCCTGAAAACAAACAACCCGTGAGCTCTTACTGGAAACTGCTTTTAGCCGAGTTCTGGTGAACAGTTAAACACAACATGATCCTTCAGGATTTTGAGCTCCCAACATTTAGTAGCAAATTAAGTTTTTTTCGTCTCACACAGGTGATTTTAATGCTGCTGCCGCCAGTAAGGTTTTATAATAAGCCCCAAATCAAATGAGAAAATAGTAAAGAAGTGAAATTGAAAACAGAAAACGCCAGTTGCACCATTTTGTCTATGCAAATGAGTCACACATGTATGTCTGTAAGTTTCCCCTGTTGGGGGAAATCCATATGTTTGAGATGATGTGAGGTTGTTCGTTAGAGCAGCAACAGACAGAGGAAGAAATGCTGAGCTGTTTAAAACTCGGTGATGTTTCTCCTCCAGGTAATTCGACCTGCTGGTCCCAACATTCGTCACAGCCCAGGAGAGGGACCGGGCAGAAACCCTCCGAGGTACGTCTGCCTTAAACTTACAATCACAGTTCAATATTAGATTAACAGTTCATGAACTGTCTGTGGCTGTGTTTCCTGTAGTCTGCCGCTGTG